CTTTCCACCTGAGTGGGTCCCAGAAGAGGTTTTCATCCTCTGGTGAACATCTGACTAGGTCAACTTAAAGAGAAGATGTGAATGAAGTTGTTTTCTCAGAGCTGTGACGCTTGGGAGGATTGTGGTATTTCAGTTTAGGGGCTCATGATAGGAGGTTCTGGTGTTGCAGTAGGGAAGTCTCCTGTGGAGGAAGAGTGGGAGCCCTCCCAGTAAATCAGGTGATGCTCACTAGAACCAGCTGGTCTCCAGAGGCAGAGCTGCATCCACCCTGCCTCCCACCACTGGCCTTTCAAAATCTGTACGTCACAGAATAATACCAAACTCTGATCAAATTCCTATTGAGGTGTCATGCTTTGGAAAACATAGAACCATGTGTTTTGTCATTGCAATGGAGATCATAGACCAAGGATTGCTGTAGGAATGTTTGTTCTTTGAAAAGGAGAGAGCAGCTGGCATTAGTCATGTGTGGTGCTGCCTCAGGTCTAAGAACAAACACACTGAATTACTTTTTGAGAAATGGGTGTTGGATTTGCATGGCTGTGTTTTTGTAGTGGGGGGGCTGCAGGGGTGGATTCTGTGAGAAGCTGCCTGAAAGTTCCCCTGTGTCTGATTGAGCCAATGCCAACCAGCTCCAGGATGGACCCAGCACTGCCTGAGGCTGAGCCCATCAGCAGTGCTGTTTGTGCCTCTGTTTTCAAATAATAATGTGTTTTCAGAAGGAGAGAGGGGCTATTGAATGTTATCACTGGGAAAAAAAAAAACCAAACAGCTGCCAAATTATTCAAAAAGGATGAGGAAGTTTAAGTGTGTGTTAAACTAGCAAAGTAACATGGTTAAGATTTACAAAATGAATTAATTTTTGGATGTATTTTCCTAGCTTGTTTGTTTGGAATCAACAAAAGCAGAAGCTGATGGAGTAAGTCTTTGAGACAATGCCTTGAATATTTTGGGATAATATAAGTCAACAGGATACACAAGGAAGTTTTCTTCTGACTGTAGCTGTTAATATCATCCAGATATAGGATCAGCTCCAAACTGCAAATCACCCCAAATTTAAAAGGACAGAAATAATCCAGTAGTATGAGCATACAGTAATTTTACTTCAGGTTTCTGCTGTAGTGGAACTCTTAATTTCTGTGCCCAGCCCATGGCCTGTCTGCTCAGGATGGGATGGCAGCAGCTCAGGCTCTGCCCCTATGGTAAATGTGTTGTGTGCCTTATCATCAATGCTCTTAGAACATAAAAGTCAGGGCTTAGGTAGTTAAGTGAGCAGGAAGGTATTGTCCCAAAGTCAGAACATAAATAAATTGTTGTTGGCTAGATGCATAATGTTCACACTTGCAAGTCATGATAGATGAGGATTGGTTTGAAAACACAGCAAAGATGGTGGCATTTCAGACTGTGGTTACATCTTCAGGGTAACTTGGCCTAGTAATTGTCTCTTGTTAAAACAGAACCAGAAGGGATTTTTATCTATACCCAAGGAAATTTTTATCTATACCCAAGGAAGGTGTGTATACCTCATGTAACTTAACAAACATGAAGTGATTATGCATCATTTTTGCTGACATAGTCTGAGTGCAGCAGAGGCTGAGAATTTGTATAAAACCCATTTAAATTATTTTTTTTCAGACAGTTTCCAACTGGAGCAGTACAGTATTATTCTATCCCTTGTTTTGCAGTCCTTAATTCTCAGTCTTACATCTAGGCATGTGTCACTGCAGCAGTTGAGAAGATGCTGCCTTACCCCAGGCTGGGTGATGGGTTGTGTTTGGGCAGTTCAGTGAAGCATCACATGGATAGATTTTTTTGTTTCCATAGTTGTATTGACCAGTGAAATTAAATCTGATAAAGATGCTTTTCAGTAAACTTACCCAGGAACTGATGCCTTGTTGCCAAAGCAGTTGAGTATTAAAATGCATTTAGTGTTTTGATTGCTTTTGAGGCTTTTTTTTTTGCTTTGGAAAATAAAGCAGTTATGCAGTGTAAGAACACAGTACCCAAACTAGTCAGTTGTAAGGCTTATTAATTCATAAGAAAGTATAAATAAGTTATCTATAATGATATTTAGATGCTTTGCCTAATTTTGTTAATAAGTCTGTGTTACACCAGAATGTCTTCCTTTAGTCAATTTTTACATGCTAATTACTGAGAAACTTGTTAATAATTCATCATCATGCTTGTATAAACTGCAAAATCAAATTTTACTTTTGCGCCTCTCCAGAATATTAATGCAATAATATCTCAGTTCTTGTGGGAAAAGTCACCCAAAAAAAAGCAGCTTCTCTTCTTCAGTTGATCACAACAGGAGTCTGGAGCATAAAGCATTGGGAGAATCTGCTGTAGTTGAGTGAGACCTGACATTGTGGGGAGGATCAGTTTGGCAGCAGGACATGCTGGGTGCATCCCTAGGACCTTGTACAGCTCCTCTTGTTGAACTATTCCCTGAAATATTCATCCTTTCAGTGATTCAAACAGGTTCTTCTCTCATTAAAAGCGTTGACTTCTTTGAACAGAACAGATTTTTTGCTTGTTTTCAGCTGTAATTCAGAGATATTTTTGTTGGCAACTCTTAAAGTTTGTTCTTTCCAAATCTTACTTAAAGGCTGTGTTTAATTTTTAGTTCTTCAAAGCATAGTCCTCAGTGACAGGACTTAGTTCATGGTTCTTTCTTTTTAGCAAGAAAAGTGGTGTCAAGAAAACATGTGTTAAGATCTAGTTCTATAAATCATAAAAAAGTGAGATCACTAAGGGAGGAGAACACAAACTTCAGCATCTCTGTCGCTTATTCCTGCAAATAAACCTGCAGGTGAATTGAGCTTCTTGTTGGTAAAATGTGCTTAACTGTTGCAAGAGCATTCTGATTTTAAAAGAAATAAAGATCATCCTCTGAGTGGTTTTTTTTAAAGCTAAATCCTATTTCTACCAGCTCAGAAATGGAGAAGTTGCAGTGACTTAGCTATACCTTTTCATCATAGCAGCTTTCCAAAAACTATAAAATGCAAATTAACCTTCTGATGCTTATCAGATTTGCTGAATCCTTTGACTTTTACTCAGCTTTCACTTTGAAATCACAGGCTGGTGGAAATACTAGACATCTGTGATTTTACTGGAGAGAGAAAAGTTTCCTGTCAGTTAGACGAAGGTGCAAAATTAATTGCTTCAAAGTCACAGATAGGTAAGTTACAGAAATTGGCAAAGCTGAATTGTCAGGCTTAGACACAAAGAAATTGGATTTATCAGGGGCCATGGCTCTTGTTAAATACACATTTACCAAGAGAGTCTTATGTGTTCAAAAAAGATAGAAGTAGACAATTTTAATAGCAAATTTCATCTAGGCATATGACATCTTGCTTAAAATGCTCCATTAGATTGGATGAACAGGGAACAGATTGGTGGGATTAAAAATTCTTTCACTAAGAGATACCAAAGTTGTCACCCTCAAAATGTGTTGAGTGGGGTTGTATGTTGTTTCACAAGAAATCCTTGCTTTCTCCAAAGATCTGTGGTGCTCTTTTAACAGTCTAGATGGTGGTACAGAATTTTTGAAGGTAAAGTTTAAAATTCTGAAGACTGACCATCAGAGGGCTGGAATCTTCCAAGTGTGGGGGATGCAGCTGAGTTCCAGGCAAGATACAGGAGTAAAGAATTATGGTTATATTATCCATCAGGAGGTCATAATCTAGAACAGTTTTAAGGTGTCCATATACATGCATTTGTCTCTGTGTCTGTGTGTATATGTATATCTCAGTGTAAAACTCTATTGCCATTATGTAGAAACTCAGAGAAAAGTAGAATGTTAATAATTCTTTATTCTGCATCCAAAGCTGTAAGAACAACTGGAAGCTGAATCAGAACAATTCTGTCTTTAATGTGCTGCAGCATAGGCTATTAAACGTCCAGAACTTTCTGTGAGATGTTGGAATCACTGTGGTACTGTGAAATTTTGTTTGAAGCCTTCAGATCTGTTTTAACCTCATTACTCTGAAATCTCTGGCCTGTGTTCACAGGCAGCAGGATTTCAGGATCATATTTCCATCCTGAGTATTCTGTGATGCTGAATACTTGCTGGATGTTCTCACTGACTGTTGGATATGTTGCTATTTAATGTGTGAATCTTCATCTGCTTGAATTTCTCAAGTGTCTTTTTGAAATTTTTTATATTATAACTGAAGTGCTAACTCAAAGCATAAGCTTTAAACTTCATAGGTATGATAACACCTCTTAACCAAGGCCACAGGGCTGCTCTCTGGGGTCAGCCTGACCTGCTGCAAGCAGGGAATAAGGACAGGAGTTCTGCAGAGTCCTGCCTGAGGTGTGCTGGAGCTTTGGAGAGCTCAGTACTGTGCAGGGGGTTTGTCAGAGCTGGAGCTTTGTGAGCTGCTGCTCTCATGGTATGGGAGGCACGTGTGAGATGGACTTGTCTGGGAGATGTGTGTTGTGTGGAGGACTTGGGTGTGGTGACCTGACCCATCTCAGTGGGGTTTGTGGTGGTGTCTGCCAAAAGCTGGCCACTTGTTTTGTAAAAACAGCATGAGGATGTGCAGTTGAGAGAAATTACCGCTTTTTTCTGTTTCTGCCCTGCCTAACCTGTGGAGAGCCCTGATCCCTTAATGTACATCAGGTAAATGACTCCAGGTGCTGTGTGGGCCGTTGAGCTCTGACCAGTTGAATGCTTCTTACTTGGTGGGAGTTTGGCTGTGGGGTTTGGCTCATCTGCTCTTGAATTGAAGATTTGTCACCTTTGCTTAACAAGTGATGGTCTGGGTTTTCCAGGTGGTACAGTTCCTTAAAGCACCAACTCAAACATCATCAGCTGGGACCCTGACTGCAGTCTCAGAAGTCTCTTTCCAGTCTATTCTTTTATTGCACAAAAAAAGAAAACAGAAATATCTTTCTGAATAAAGAAATACAGCAAAATTTCAGTCGATTTCATGCTGTTTTGAAGTGGATCTTGAAGGGAATATTAAAAATATGTTCTGGCTCTTTTGTCTCTGCAGAGTTTACAGATGCTTCCTCAGCAACGGAAAGCCATAGCAAAGTTCAAGGAGCCAGCACATGCTTTAGCATTTCAACAGAAATTCCACAGGTAAATAATTAAGCACTGCTGCCACCATGGGTCCTTCCTTCCTTTCAGAAGATAAAATCAGTCTCCTCTGGCTCAGTGTTTCTTTAATCCAATCAAGCATCTGTTGATTAGTGACCTTCGTGGAAGCTCCATGCCCGAATCAGTCTGAGCACCACATTTAACTTTCTTTTAACTTTTAACAGGCACATGATAGATCTGTCCCACATCAACGTGGCACTGATTGTGGAGTGATGTCTGCTGAGAGAAGCCCTGCACCAGCCTCAGTGTACTGTGGAGCTACAGACTCACAGAGGAAAATCCATCGGGTTGGAACCCTGTCAGCTCAGTCTGTGACTGCTCTGTTGAACTCCAGAAAGCACCAAGGTGACCTCCAGGAGAGGTGAATTCGAGAGGATCTGCAGAGGTGGAATTTGTGTTCAGTTTCTTCATATTCTGTTGTAACCACATGGAATTATAGAGGTTTTTTTTTTCCCAAAATGCTTTTGATGCATGTAGACATTGTTCTTCAGGATCCTACTGTGTGACCACAGTGACTTGAGAGAGAACGGTTACAGCGAAAGATTTGAAAAACTTTCAAAAGAATAGCAAAGAATATTTGATAATGGTTGCTCTTATCTTCAGTGCAAGGTATTTGAATGAAAACTCATTTTTCTAAACAAATTAGTTGCATTGTATACCTGAGAGCACAGAAGGTATTCTTGCATAGATTTGAACATGGTCTGCTTTGCTGAATAGCAGTTTGCTGAGAAGCTTTGGAGGTGACACTGGAAAATTGTAGTTTTGATCTTTGTAAATAAGTCTGTGCATTTTTCTATTCCAACATAGACTTCCATTTTCTCTTTCCAACTCCACTTATTCCATAAAACCCTGTGTAGGAGGAATAACACTGCTGTATTTTCCCTTGGTTTTTAAAAACAAGGATTTACCCTTCAGTAACATCGTGGGGTAGTGAACTCTTGCGTTGTAATTAGGTTGTTTTAAATAACTCTGCAAGGAAAAAGAAGTATTTGGTGGGTCACTTCAAAAATGTTATGCAGGAAGAGTGGTGCATTCCTGATAGTTCTTCTGGCCTAGTGTTTTATGGATGCCTCGTGTTTTGTTTTGATCAGGTTTTTTTCTTTGAGATTTGTTTTGTCATTAATGCTGAACCGTAAGAAACCAGTAACTGAAGGGACTTTTGATGTGGTGTTCCTGATACATAAAGGACTTTAAGGACATTGTCGATCTCCTGATGAACGTGTCAGTTCCCAAAAATGCCATGAAAACATTAAGGAGCTTATATTTTATTCAAAGTAAAATTCATAATATATCCTTTTGGTTAGAACCATCCAGATGGGGTTGCCAAAGTAACAATTTTTTCAGTTACTTCTGAATAAACTTATTCAAATGTCATCTTTATATTGGATTCCAGTTTTTATGAACATTTCCTTAGTTTTTAGACCATGATGTTTTGCTTCATGCTTTATTTTAGCAATACTCTTAAGCACTCCACCTACTTTTTGAAGGGGGGGACTTGCAGAAATGTAGGTTTGTTACCAGAGTGACTGCAGAAGAACGCTATGGGTATGAAATAAAAGATCTGCAAATGGGGTCCAAAGTAGGCATGCCAAGCTGGAAGGGATGAGCTAAGCAAATTTCTAGAACCTTTTTAAAATAGTATATTTTTTTTTAATGATTTAATGGCACAGATACCTAATTGGCTTTCTTCCACTTTTGGTCTAGATTTTCAACTGAGTAAAAGTTACCAAAAATAATGAGGGAATAAATACTGATAAAAGACTTCTAGGTAGACCTGCTCTCTGTTCAATGAAATAATTTAGAATAACATGGTGCTTAGGAAATATTCTTTAAGTCCATTTAAAACTTAGTGACAAGACACAGTAACAGAATGAGAATCTTTTCATGGATGCAGGGTTTACAGCCACCTGTATAATTCATGCATAAAGTTTAATAACAGCCCCAGTTGCTGTACATGAAGTGCTGTTAGTGCTTCAGGGTAGAGCCAAGCCCAGGACAGAGCTGCAGGTAGGAAATGCCCAGTGGGACCAGCCCCAAAGGCCTGCAGAGTGCTCAGCCCCAGGCTGGTTAACTCCTCACACCGTTAGCTCTGGGACCCCTGCACTGTCTCCTCAGGTTATGTCACGTTTATTGCTAGGAAATACCTGGTGATCTTTAAAACAAGGCATTGAACAGTTGCTCATCCCCTGTTAGGGAGCAGCTTCTCTGCAGTGAGCAGGACAAGGAGACATCTCAGAGTTACAGTAGTGCGTGCCTGGAAATCTGGGATAGATGCAACTCCAGACAGGCCAGCAGCTGAGTTCAGCACTAGGAACATCTGCAGTTGATCAGCTGTCCTGTCAGAAGCAAACATTATTGGGGTTAGAGGGTTTCTTGGAGCCTAAGAATATGGGTTTGATTCAAAAGTCAAAGAACTTTGTAGAGATGCTCCTGCTTTGGGTTTTGAATCCATCCCAAAGAGCCTGAGGTTCAGCCAACTTAAGTTTTAAAAATTTTTATTCAGTTGGGTTTTTAATTTTTTTTTTTGAGACAAATGTGTGGCTTTGGAATAAAGGCATGAAATGGCCTCATATCTATTTAAATGAAGGAGTGACGTGAGCAATGCCTGTTTAATGAGTAGATGCATCCTCTCTATCAGCAGTTACAGGAGATTTATGCTTGTGCATAGACAGGGTATGGGTGGATTGCTGGGGATTAAATCAGCTGTTCCTGGGTACCTTCCTCCACGTAAACCTACCTTATGTATGTATGTCTATATTTGTTTTATTATACACATACATACATACTCACACCCTGTGTTGTCACCATTTCTCTCTAATGTCCTAAAAAACTCAGTAGCAAAAGTAGCAGTTAGGTGAGTCATTTTTCGAAATGTTTGTGTTCTCTTACTTCAAAAATCATAACTTAAAAGTGGATTTCTTGGCATTGATTGGTTTGGATGATACAGCTCCTTTAGATCCATCTGTTGTCTCCTCCCAAAAACACCCAAAGGAAGTAGAGGTAAAGCTAGACAGACGTGTTCTTGATGTGTTCTCTTCCAGCACAGAGTTAAATCTGAGCATTTTAAGTTAACTTTCTTGGAAGATCTGTTGCAACCATTATCTTGTTCTTTCTTTGTAGTGAATTCACAATACGATGCAAAATGGAAAAAAAAAGAGAAGGCATTTAATGTAGTATGTAAATATTGACCTTTTAAAATTAAAATGCTACTCAAAGTGCTTACAGTCAACCACATCTTAGCTATTTGTTAGTTTTTTGTGTTGTCTTATCTAAATTTAAATGGATATGGTTCCATAAATGTTGATGTGTTTTTGTGTATATCTTCAAATTTTTATAAAGATGCTAGTAAGTCAATACATATATCCTGATCTGTGTATTATTTGTTCAGTTTTTATTAGCATAATTTTATAATTATTTAAATAGGCAACTCCAGTAGGTGGTTATATGAAGTCAGCTTTTTTTTTTTTTTTGAAATTATTTCATTTCCATCTTGTACCACTGAAAAATTCACTTTATAACTATTCATATTTTGCCTTGACTAAGATATTGAAGTGCCCATATGATCTGTGGTATTTTAGTTGAATGTTCTACTTTTTTTTTTTTTTTTTAATTAAAAAACCCTAAAACAGCTCTGTCCTTTAACTTCTGAGGGGAAACACTGTCAGACCAAGGCACGGGGTCTCTCTGGGTTTGTTCCATTGTGCTGTTTGCAGGTACAAATTTAGGTCTGTGGTGTAATACTGTCCTCAAAAGTTGGGGCTGTTTTGGTTGCACAGTTTGGGTTTCACATGTGGGGCGGGTTGGTGGCACGTTGGTGCATCCCAGTGTTATCAGTGCCACCCCTTATCAGTGCCACACCAGCCTGTGGTGTGGTGCTCAGGCAGGGGCACCAGGACAGCTCTGTAGCATTTCCAGAGCCAGAGGGATGCTGTCCTCAGCCCACACATATCCCCAGTGTGACTTTGAGAAGGAGGAGTGGATCCAGGCACCCCCTCTGCATGCTATCCTTGGATATGTATTTTATTCCCCCCATTTAAATCTGAAGGTTTGCTTCAGGTTTCTGATTTTTTGAAAAGTCCTTCCAGCCTTTAAAATGCCAAGCAGATTGTGCATTTTAATTCATTAATGTTAGGCTTGCTCTGCAAGGACACAGATGAGAGTAAAACTGAAGGTTATTTCAGAATAACCTTGGAGGTCCTCAAAGTTGGTTTTTTTTAGCGTCAGCTACTGGGGATAAAAAAGAAAAAACCCTTTTACTCGGTGCTATATTTTTAATCTTTTTTTAAACTTAGTATTTTTTATCTGTGTAGTTTGAAATGATGCAGTTTCCCTGGAAGCTGCTGCAGGCACTTCCTGCACCCATTATCTGTGTGGCTGTATGTGTGTGTGGGTGTGTCACCCTTGTACCTGGGCTGAGAGGGGGTGGGAGGCTCTGGGGGTTCTTTTGAGAGTTTTTTTGGCTTTTTTTTCTTTTTTCTTTTTTCTTTTTTCTTTTTTTTTTTGTCTGCTTGGGAGATACCCTGAATTTGTCCTCTGGCATAGTATTATTGTGCTTTCCTGTCCTTTGTGTAGTACTGTGTCTGTGATTCGAGTCAAGGTACTTGAAGGTAGAAATCTGTGTCACCTGTTCACTGTCAAAAAGGCATTTTTTGTTCAGAGAGACATAAACCTTTTTTTTTCTAATGCATTTTTTTGTGCTTTTGGTTTTGTTTCTTTTTTTTAGCATCATGATAGATGAGAAATTAAATGTGAAGGAAACAAATCCTAAACAGATTGCAGAAAGTTAGCTGTATTATAAAGGTCATTTAGGGTAACATAGAGCTTTTGTTTCAATGTTACCTTAAATCATGCCTTGTCCTCTAATTAATTCATAACCATAATACTTGAAAGTATTTTATCTTAAATTAGTATCAAATCCTAAGGATTTTCTGTAAGGTTTTTTTGTAACCTGATTTTTAAGCATGGAGATAACTTACTGTCCACATGAGCACAGGGGCTTGTGTACAAAACTAGATTCATATTGGATCCTTGGGTATGCCAACTTCTGGTACAATATGGTTGGGAAGGATCATTTTGTTCTTTATAATGCTGCTTTTGGCAGCAGGGTTGGGTTTTTTAATTTCAAACAAACAAACAAACTCCCTTTTCTACTTCTCTACTTTGGTGGAAAGTGTGGTCCTTATTGCACTAAAGAAAACCTCGAGGTGAAAGTTAAATCTCACAGGGTCTTTTAGGTGCTTATGTTGCTCTCTGCTTTCTTGGTTCACTGATTTTTCTAACTAACTGGAAATGGGCTTTATAGATAGATTTTTTCAACAGGTTACACTGCTTTTATTTTATGTAACAGCACCTTGTGTTCAGTGTTTTTTACCATCTAAACTTTAAAGAGTATTGCAGATTAAAAATACTTTTGTAAAAGAACCTGTGTACAGTTAAATGTAGCTGTATTGCAATGTTGTGTGTAGTCACATGGAAGATCACAGTTTCCAACACTGCTGTACTGATGTTGTGTTTGTTCAGGATTTTCTTTGTGTGCATCTAATGGATTTTAATATGCATGGTATTTTTTTTCCTAGTGTCTGTCAGGCTGAGGTTGGAACCTTACAGTTTTATCTCTGTTTTGAGAATAACAAAACCATTTGTTTGCAGGTTTTCTTTTTCAGATGATGAAACTTCTTTTAGCAGTTTAACTTCTAATTAATAGACATTTTTACTTACAGATCCAGCAGAGACCAGATGCTAACCCTTATTTATTCACAGCTGATCTTCTATACCATTGCATATAATTTTATTTATGAAGGAGCTCTTCGATTAAGTCAACTTTCCTTTTTCCTGTGGTACCCTTTGCCTCTCTGCTATGCTTTTTCTCATTTTCATCTAATTTGCCCCCATTTTTCCATTTCCATTTGTATCCTTGTTATGTTCCTGCCCTTTTCACTCCCTGTTCATCTCTCTGCTTTTTTTTTCCTGAGTGCATTGCGTTCAATCTTTTGCTCTGTTTTCTGTTCTTCCAGCTCTTGAGGGTACTTGAACCCAAGCTATCCTGCCCTGAAATCCACCCTACCACACTTTCCTTTGCAGACTCTGGTGCCTGAAGTTGAGGTTGCTTTGGTACAGGTGTCACCCCTTAGGCTGTGCTGCCTGTCCCAGAGCACTGGAGAAGCATCACTTAACACTTTTGCTTTGCAGTTTTACCCATGCTGGGGAATGTAGACATTTCCTTTACATGCTTGAGCATTTAGCCAGGCTAAACAGGATTAACAACTGTTTTTTATCCTTTTCACTTTTTCAGGAGCTCTGTTCTTGAATTCAGTGATAGTAATAGAACTTTTTGTTATTGCCACGTAGAAATACCAACACTGTCGACACGATTCTACCTC